CAAAATTTCAAATTACAAGAATGGTTAAATAATCCTAAATTCTAGACCTAAACAAATTATTGAAGAAACCCTTCAAAAAATATAACTATAGGTGATGCTACACACAATCACCCGACATTACACCATATAGGTGAATTACAATTCATAATGGAAATATAAAACAAAATATAAGAGATATGACTTGATTGAAGTGTTACAACTAAAATCTATAGTCAAGAGAAAAATCATTCAATCTTTAATCTTCTTAAACCAAAATGATTTGTGCAATATTTATATGTTCAAATCTCTTTCACTCACTTAATAATGTTTTTAGAATAAGTGTTCCATTAAAGAAAGAGAATATATAAAATGTAAAGGAAAACAAGGTAATTGTCAATATAGATTAATTATATTAGTTATCTGATTTTGCAAAACTTGAAAAATGAAATTAGTCTGTATTAATCAATTATTTTTAAAAGACATTCTTGTTTGTTTTCCTTTCTGGTAGGCATCACATAATCTTTCAGAAGCAAAACGAATGTTAGGAAAACCAATAACAAGATCTTTCAACACAAGTTTGTTTAATTGACCCATATTAATATGAGCTAATCTTTTGTGTCATAACCATGCATCATCTTCTTTAGACATAAGACATACAAGAGACTTGAATTATGTTTTTCTAAAATCAATTATATATATGTTGTTGTATCTCTTCCCTATTAATAACAATTCATCTGTAGAATTAATGCTTATCAGACAGTAGTTTGGTTCAAACGTTATTTTCAGACCTTTGTCACACAATTGACTAATACTCAGCAGATTATGTTTCAAACCTTCAACAAGTAGTACATTATCAATTTCATATGCAGAAGGTATTTGAATTTTACCAATACCGATGATTTTACCCTTGTTATTATCACCGTAGGTGACATGACCAGTGGTTCTGTGAGAGATGCTTATGAATTTTGTTGGATCTCCTATCATGTGCCTTAAACACCCGCTATTTAGATACCACATGGATCCTTTGCTTCTTATTCTAGGAACGCTTTAGTAGTTTCAAACTTGGCCATCATGATAAGATCATTCCCTGGCACATTCTCTTTCTTGATCTCCTTTTTATCACCATTTTGATACTCGTCACTTTTATTCTTGTTGAGGAATCTAGTAAATTTTTTTGCCTGCAAATTTACTCTTTCAACTATGGATTTTAGTCCATCTATGCCATTTTTTCTGTTTTGTAATAAACCTGCTTCAAGAGACTCATAAAAACCATTAGTGATGGAATTACGTTTATCATTACAAGTAACATGCACAAATTCAAACGCATACTCACTTTTCCTCACTGTTTGAGAAACAGAAGCCATCACAGGATCGAATAATCGATTAGACAAAAAGGTTAATCGATTTTTGTTTCAAATATCTTTTGAAAACCAGCTCTAGTGTCAATTGTTAGAAAAGATGTGCTTCATTTCTCACACTAAGAGGGGGGTGAATTGGTGATGTATAAAAATGATCGCTTTTGAAATCTTTTTAGCAAAACTGAAAGTCTTTAAACTTTTCTTGAATCGCAAGTAAAAATATATGCAATGTAACAGTATGCGTATTCGAATACAGATAATATGCAATCAATTACATGTAGAGAGATAGAGAGAAGAAAATTCAAACTCTGATTTTTATACTCGTTCGGCCACAGCCTACGTCCAGTGTCCTTCCACTCAACCCGAGACTGGAAGCCAATGCACTATAGAGATCTGAGTTTTTACAACAAGGGTTTTACAGCGACCACAATGTCAAAATGTAAATCACCTCTTTAACTCACTAATCTAATATAGGCAAATACAAACAGACTAGCAGCAAGAACAATCCTCTCCTGCAGTCAACCCTTTGAGATCCCCCTCAAAATGAAGAACCACGTTCTTCTTCCGGTATACACCATAGGGAAACAGCAACACTAAGTGTTTGCAAGAGCTCCTTATCTAGCAGTATGCACCTCTATTGTGCATAACGATCAGACTTTACAAATCAATAAATCTTGTTGTTCAAGAAATCTTCAAGACTTGTACACCACGACAATTCTTGTTTCTTGGAGTGTTTCTCTCTTATGTAAAACTTCAAAGTTGTAATATGAAAGTGATATGAAAGTGTTAATCACAATTATCTTACATAATTTCAAATCATGTGTCAATATGAGACGCATTTTAATCGATTATGCCATTAATCTAATCGGTTTCATTTCACAGTTATAACATATCAACAGCAATCAAAGTCATTAATGGAATGCTCAATTAATGTAATCGATTTACAATTAATGCTTGGTCAACATATTCAAAAATATGACCGTTGTGACAGTTATGTCAAGCAATGAAACAATTTTCAAATCTTTAACAAACTTAATTGAATACAAGATCCATATAATCGATTAAGTTTTAACACTTAGCATATTTTTGAAAACTTTTCTTTTCAAAATCCATCACATCACACTTGAAAAAGATTTGTGCAAACACACGAGTTTTAATCGATTTAACCACTAATGTAATCAATTTAAAACTTGTTGTTTTGCCACGGTCTAAAGCTTAGGTTGTCTGATGACCTTAATTGATTAATCAATCATTGTAATCGATTAAGTCATGCATATATGCTTGGTGCATGTGGTTTTTCATTTCAAAACTCATATTATACATACACAGATATAATCACATTTCAAACACAGTAGTATGCAACAATCAACACAATATGTTCATAGTTATGCTTGTATAAATCTCACAGTAAGCATATAACACATATAACACAATACGTATACATGTGTTTTTATTAACTATGTGTTGTCATCATCAAAAATATATATCACAAAGATTGTGGGTCCAGCTAATCCTATGTTCCCTCTATCAACAAAAAGAGTGTGATATGCAAGTCTATGACTGAACAAAATATGTCTACATGATTTTGCATTGATCTGAAATGGACTATGTGTTGATCTGAAAAATTTAATCAACTACAAAAGTAGTGCAATCAATTAAAACAAGTAAATGTGGTTTGAACTTTATATTTGATAAGTCATTTACTCTAAACAACTCATTCGGATGATATATCTGCTCATGCATTATTATACTCATTGTATTATATCTTCTGTTAAATAATCTTGAGTATTTTGAATGTTGCTTACGTAAATCCATTGGCTTCAAGGACTAGTTATTTTACTCCGATACATGTTTTTAAATTTGATACTTGCTTGAAACTAATTTTGAAATTAATACTCTGTTAAAATCATTATTGTTAGCTCTGTTACAAAATGATAGGGGGAGAACTTAAGAAAACTAGAGCTACTTCATAATGATAGGGGGGCATCATCTTCTGATATAAATCTGTAACATTACATGTTGATGTATCTCTTAATGATATTGTATTTCTATTTCTAAATACCTTTTTTGCTAATGCCCAAAGGGGAGAGATATTAGAAATTTAAATCTGACTTGAAATTTGATATAACTTAATATAACTAATAGAACAATTTCTGGTTGTATTGTACATCATGATTGTGCATCATCAAAAAGGGAAGAGATTGTTAATAGGGGAGCAAAGTGAATGCTAATCCCAATTCCCATGTGTTCAGTTTTTTATACGTGTGTTGCTAAACTGATTGTTTTGTATACTTACTATGATCATAAATGTGTTTACATCTATTGTATGCATTCTCATGTATTCATATGTTAAAACCACTTGCACAAAGCAAATATGAATGAAGTAATCGATTACACTAGTTTAGTAATCAATTAAGTTCATCAGATAGCTTATGCTTAAAAATTTGGCAAACTACACAAGTTTCAATTGATTACATTAATTGTAAAATCGATTCAAACTCGTGTCTTTGCAAACACCTTTTGAAAATGTGCAGTTATGAGCTTTGAGAAGAAAAAGTTTTTAAAATTGTCTAAGTGTAGGACTTAACCGGTTACACTGATTATGTAATCAATTAAGTGTGGTATTCTTTGAAAAATGTTTTCAAGTTAAATCATAACTGTAATAACGGTCACATTTTTAAATATTTTGACTTACTGTTAACTTGCAATCGATTACATTATTTGCATATTCAATTAAATTTGTTGTAATGTAATCCTGATATAACTCTGATAAAGCATAACCGATTACATTATTTTTGTAATCGATTAAAGCGCGTCTGATATGAGAAAAACTATATAATTAACATGTTGCGCGTTGTATTACCAATTTTTGACACTTTGATCATTTTGATAATTTTCATATCTGTTATCAGATAGTTTAGAAAGAGATTGCAGGTGCGCCTAATGCTCCAAGAATCAAGATTCAAAGATTTTGAAGATTTTGAAGAATTCTTGAAGGCTAGCATTGAACGTTTATTGGCTTATCACTTCTGCACTGATCAGAACTTGTTTTGAAATCAAGAAGATTGTTGTTTCCCTGTGCATGTTGTTAGGAAGAAGAACTTGGTGTTCTTGGTACTTTGAGAAGGATCTCAAAGGGTTACTACAGTGAAGAGGATTGTTCTTGTGTAGGGTGTGTTTGCTATATTAGATTAGTGTGAGTTAGAGAGGAGATTTACATTTTGACAATGGGTCGCTGTAATTCCTTGTTGTAAAAACTCAAAATCTTTATAGTGGAAAGTCTTTCAATCTAAGGTTGATTGAAAGAGACTGGATGTAAGCATTGAGGCCGAACCAGGATAAAAAGATTGTGTTTTGTTTTCTATCCTTAATCTCTTTACTGCGTTATTTTGATAATTGTATTGTGCGCTTTTAAAAATCATCTAAAGTTTCCAAAAAGAATTAAAAAGAAAACGTTTTTATTGATTACCAATTCACCCCTCTTGGTAAGAGAAACAAGTCATAACTTTTCTTATCTTGTGTAACTATTTCTGATGTTTTAGGACACTTTGAATAACTCAGTACAAGTTTTAATAGAGACTGACATAATTTTTAAAATGATGAAGGACACAAGTTTTAGGACACTTTTCTTACACTTGTGCTTTTATCCGAGCTTGAAATGATATGAAGGAAAGATTTGCAAAGCTTCTACCGGGAGAAAACATGTCTGGTAGTGGGAAAGGTGTTTGCAATACAGTTACAATCTCAAATGCCATTACCAATGGCTTTGGTAAATTTTTAACTGTTTTAATACTCAATAACATTGGCTGATAACACACTCTTGTGCATATTTGTATGCAATTCCTTTTGTCCTTGAATGTGTTTGATTTGTGAATTCTACAGCAACTGTATTTGGTCAAAGCTTAAAGTTGGAACCACTAAAGTCAGAGAAGAAGGCCATGTGGAAAAGGGAAATGAAGGTTCTTTTATCAGTGTGTGGCTACATACAAGAATTTGCTCCAACTGCATATTTAAAAGGTGGCACAATAGTGGAAGTGAGATTTGCTAAATGATAATGAAATCTTCAATGGAACTTGTTTGGTATCTGTAAATGTATATGACATGATCTGATGCTCTCTTTCAGATGATGAAAAACAGGCCATAGTAAGACAAACCTCAATTGCTTCTTCCATCTTGCATCAGTTTTCATGAAGACTTCTTGTAACTTAGATTATGAACATAACATTGTTCGCAGGAAATATTAGCTACTTTTCAGGACACTGAATTTTGGTGTGCAGAGAACATACCAGGAAATTTCAATTGTGGGGCCTCATTTCGAAGAATTGTTCCAAGGAAAGATGACAAGTGGTGGTTGTCAGTTCCTTGTGTTCTTCCTGGTGGTGTCTCTGATGTGTCAAGAAAGCACCTGATAGAGAAAAGAGTCGGTGCTAATCAAATTCATAAGGCGGCAATGGCAATAAACAGCAATGTTCTTGAAGAAATAGATATCCCAGAAACATATATAGATAATCTTCCCAAGGTTGGTCTTCATTCCCGTTGTTTAAGATAAAAACTTGTTTCTGGAAGTCTCATTATGAAAGTTGAAATCTCAAAAATGAGTCTTGTGAAACATGGTTGAGAAGAAAGATGTAAAAGAAACATAAATTTACTATTTGATTGAACGAGTTAAGGTAAGTACATATTGAAACTTCTATATCAGTTTTCAATAAAATATTAAAACTTCTACATTATTGTCTTGAAATAGTTAATTTTGTATTTATAGAAACTAAAAAAGTGAGCAAGAATATTATACTAAAAATGATTCTTACTAAATATAATGGTCTTAGAGTAATTACAATATATGAGAAAACCTTCGAGGTAATCTCCACATAGGCATCTCTAACAAGTCTGCATCTCTTTTTCTTTCCAGCTGCAATTCCAAGTGATTGAGGATTCTATTAAATGTTACCCCATAAAGAAAAGGCTGACTCCTAAAACTGAGGGTATAGTAAATAACATCAACGACCATATAAATTACTTTTCAAAATACATTTATCACACCTTATCACATCACTTAAGGATGGTGCATTACTAAACTATTCCACCTGATTGTCGATCAAAACTAAACTTTATTTTTATTAAGATAAAAAGTGAGAAATTAGAAGGGAACAAGTTATCTTTCAGACTAAAAAAAACTGATTTTTTCATGGACTAAACGAATTTATCCCTCTATTGGTAAAATTCACTGGACTTGCAAGTAAATCGAATGCTGAATTTTCCAGATGAAAGCACATATTTTCATATTCTGAATATTTAAAAAAGACAAAATGAACACGTGCACTGGTGTGTGCCTATGTCCCCGGAAGATACAGGCAGTTTACACATTGAAACATGAATTAGAACAGAAAAACTACAGACCACCTGAGATATATTATCAAATAAATTGGGAAAGTTGAAACAATGATCCTATATTTACAATAAACCACTGAACTGTGTCTGAAAGTGCACTAGTCCAGGGTGGGGTGATGAACAGGTTAGTTTAGTCAAACCAGGCCAGAACCAACACGATGATGAGCTTCACTTTTCATTAACGAAGAACACGTCCCTTCACCTGTTTCTCAAATTGATGTCCCCTCAACCTCCCTTCCACACGGGACGGCGAGCACAGAAAGGCATCTTCATGCCAGTCTGCCATCAAAAATAGACGATGAAACAACTAATACACTTGCTGAGGGGTTTGCATACATGAAGCCAAAAAAAAAATCTTGTTAATCAACTATCCTCATCCACAGCGCCAACATATGTAAGGTCTGTTCGCCGCACTCTTACTGCCCCTTTAAGCCAGCTGGCAGCACGAATATTTACCCGATCACCACTTCCAATTATATTAGTATTATTTGCCGACGGGCAAGATCCAGCCCCATCTTCTAAAAGCATCCAAGGGTCAATGTCCAAATCATTTTCCTGTTGCTTTGACTTCCCTGATGCTGTAGTCTTTGATGATGGAACAGAGTTCCTCTGAGGGACAGTTGAACTGCTGGAGTTAAACCCAGAATTTGTAGTGTTGGGTTGAAGAGATGCAAGAGCAGAAGTTGGAACCGTCGGCAGCTGGCATGAGAAATGGCACCTTATAGTGGGAGGAAGTACAGGCATTGCAGCTTGGATACGCCACCGGATAGTGTCTGGCAGTTGCATGTTATCAAGGTGATTCTGTATTTAGATAATAGACCATAAGAAAAGTAAGAAGCCTGCATTCTAATCGGCATCACCCAGATGATAATATCCAGAATAAAATGCATTCCTAAAATAATAACAGGATCAGTCACAGAAACTAAGTTTTGCACATTAATAGGCTGAAAGATCATACCTGCAATGCCTCCAAGGGCTCGCGATCAAAACCAGAAAATTCCCTTGCAGATTCGTTAGCTGTCTTTGCAACAGATTTCGACCTAAGCCAACTTGGAAGGGAACTACTCAACAATCCATGCAAGATCAACAACAGACGATCAAACAGGCATTCAACAGAAGAATCCACAAAAGCAGCCTCAGCAGGTGATTCCGCCTCCTTTCTCAATGGAGAATATTGCATGGCATTCACCATTGCATCCTCATGCACAACCCGGCTGCCAAGGAGACGAAGAAGCACAGATGCAAGTGTGTATCTCATACTCCGTACAGAAGACTCCCTGCAAAATCAAACATCTTAGCTAAACTACCTCTGAAAATCCTACAGTTGATACTCTAAGGCATACATTAAAACAAGCATATGCCTTCATATGCCCACCAAAATCCATATTTCATTTCTGAAAAGATCAGATGCAAATTTGACTTACAGCACCCACAAACATCAGTGCAAGTATTATCAATGCAAATTGATAATACGACAGTAACTGTATGGTTGAAAATGTTCATATTGCAATTATCTATCTTGGTTTTTATGAATTTCAACAAAACCAAAAACGGTGGACTTTTACCCCCACATAGTTAACTATATAAACATGTTTCCAGAAAACCTCATACCGCTTAATCCCATGAAAAGAGACAGTGCAGCAACAACCCAGAAGGAAAATGCGTTTCAGGAAAGCACAGAAAACAATTTTAAGATTAGAAGAAATACAGTCTTAATTACCCGTCTGTGCAAATAATAGGAAGAAATCTCATGAGCAACTGCACACGTAAAGATATTGATGCTCGCAATGAAGCAGGAGAAAGTGAAGAAGAATCCGGAGTAGGTGTTGGTCTTCTGGCTAAACCAGGGCTGCCACTTCTTATATTTTTGCGGCTATTTACTTTGTTTGTCTGACCTTCAGTTGCAGGAGTATTTACTGGCTTAGTTGGTCCTCGGGTAACTAAAGCTATCTGTTGCTCAATATAATTTAATTGTTTGATCAAATCACTTGCAAAGGAATTTCGAGATTCGTCAGAACTTTGATCTATGCATGGAAGAATTAACTCAAGAAGAGCCCTCTCAGTCCCATGCTGCTGCTTACTGGTAGATCTTTCAGAGTCAAACACTGGGGAGAACCCTTTTATGGACCTTTTCACATCCATTCCCTCTTCAACAACTTCTCCTTCTTCAAGAGGCATAGAATCAACTTTCTTTTTATCGCCCTTGAGAGTAACTGGACCTTTACATGGGGCGCACCAACCCCAGGGTTCAGAAAACTGTGTCTTAATGGAAAATCTTTTAGACTCTGCAATGTTAATCAGTCGTTGCCTAATAGTCTTCCGACCAAAGAGGACGTCTTGTCCCGCAAGGAACCATTTAGCCTGTAACAACATTGAATCCTCTAGTGACTTCCCAAAAAGATGAACCACCTCCGAGAAAAGGGGTGCGGCATCAGGTCTAACCAGCAACCTTGTCAGAATTATTTCAATAAAATTGTTCTCATTCTCAGAAGCACCACTCTTCTCTAAACTAGGTGAGGACAACTGTATAGCGTCAGCTAGAGATATATCATGCATCTTCATTTTCTCAATGAGGGCCTGTTCATTTAAAAGCAGCCTGAGTTCAACCCATTGCCAGTGAAACTTGGCAGGCTGCAAAGCATCTAACACATCCACAAGCTTATCCTGTAGTGTAGATTCACTATCAGTAAAATCAATTTTAGATTCACCATGTCCAGAATTCCTGCTTCCTTCTTCCTTTGTATAAATAGATTGAGGCATCTTACAATCAATCAAGGCATTTAGAAAATGTCTAGCACGGAGGGGAATAAATGCCACAGATTTCGAATGGATATCAGAGCCATTCAACTCTAGCAAGGTGGCAAACTCTGCATCAGTCATGTTTACAGCCATAAGATCATAAAGACCCTGACAATCTCTTAAGCACACATTTCGGAAGGGCAAATGTTTTATTGCATCACTTATGGCCATTGTTAAAGACTGATAAAGTTGATTCATATCTTCACGAAATGCTACATTGGCATTCATAACAAAAGGCCGCCACATAACAAAAGAAAATATTGAATAGGCAGGTGGAAAGACCAATGATAGAGAAAGCATCCGCTGCATCCTTGAAAGAGCAACAATGGACGGTTCATCCAAGAGATCAACCACTAAGCCTTCACAGATGGTTCTACAGTTCCCAACAAGCAATCTAAACCAATGGATATGAACTTCAACTGAACTATCTACCTTAAAAGCCCCAACTGAACGTACACTCCCATTTGAATTGGATCTTGTGCTTCTTACAAATTGTACAACATCCAGGCCCTCCTTTAATCTGAGAATGGTTACTATTCTTTCCAGGCTCACAACACCAGATATGATTGCACCAACAACAAGTGCAGAAACAGCAGCACTAATTTTTGTTGTTCTTGCAACCACAATTTTGCTACTGTTGTTTGAAACATCACTCGGAATAGTACTGGTATCATGGGTTTCAGGTGACATTTGAAACTGAGCTCGAGAAGCTTTACTTGGAGAAAAAACTCCAGCAAGAGCAGTAGAAGCTTCCATTGCAAGAGCAATCTCAAATACACGGCTTTGGCGTTCTCCCAAGGCCTCCTTAAGCAAGCACAAACAGGTTATATGCATTCGCAAAATGCATTTAGCATAATTCAAAGAACTTGTAGCCAATGACATATTTGACTGGTTACTTCCAGCTGAAAAATCTGGCAATTTTGCCAAAGTTGGACCAACACTGCCAACAATGGCAGAAACAGCAGAAGTAACTAAAGATGAATCCCCCTCTTGAGCAGCACCACCAGTCTGCCGTATGCAATCTATCAGGCCCACAACTATTTGTTGAGCAATTTGATACCCATTATCCCATTTTTCAAAAGTGGGACCTTTCGGCGTACCAGCAGCAAATAGCTTCCTGTCTTTTCCAAAAAGATAGTGAAATGCTTCTTCCACGTTACGCTGTACAACATCTCTCATTCCTGAACCTACTCTGGACGGCAACCGGCCACCACTTATCTTTTGACGGAAAAAGTCATCAGGGTCCTCAACTCCAGCAGGAACACCAAGTGGAAGCCCCAACTCTCCATCAACTGACCGTCCAGACTCAATTTCAAAAGCAAGTCTCTTATCACATGTACTCTTGAAATTTTTCTCCCACTC